GGAGTCCTCCTGGGTGTCTTCCTTTGGAGGTTTTCTCCTAACATCCAACATGGAGGATGCTGGGACTGTTATATGTATTGTCCTAGGAACACCTTGGCACGATGTTGCAAAATGTTTGGGAGAGGTCACTTGCTGCCTCTTGTGACCCCGACCCCTGATAAGTGGAATAAAATGGATCGATCGAAATAAAGGGCTGTAAAACTGAAACACAATCAGTCCTGCTACTTGGTGAATTAGTTGCTTCATCAGGAAGCACGATGATACAAACACTCCTTCAAAGGGAAACTTAAAGCCACAATAGGGTCGCAGAGGTCGCCTCAATAATCTCTCTTGATGATGCCCTGCTGATAGAGAGGCAGCCAGGCATCCCCAGTCAACCAGAGTAGAAATGGTCATCCTCATCTTAGAGGACTGATTACATCTGGCCTCCCTCAGTGCACTCTTTAGTCATCGGCTTTAACCACCTTCCAAGCATATACTCCCTGGGTGGAGCCCCTGTGGCCTGAGGATCCCATTTTTAACATTTGACAACTCAGCTGTGGGGTGTGTTTCATCACTGCTGAACTCCCCATAGCTTCACTCCTCTGTTTTAACACCAGTCAAATGCAGCTTTTGACATCTGGCTTTTGAAGAGAGACAGTTTCGGGGGAATAAAAAATCAATCTCGCCTCAAATCCAGCTTTGATCCGCTGTTCTGGCAGGTAACAGAGCTTATTCAGAGACATTTAAACCAAAGGGCCGACTTATTTCTGGCTGCAACATTCTCCTTTAAAGACAGATGTAAACGCTGCAGTGTTCATGGGTGCAAACAGGCCACCTGTGTGTGTTTGTCAAATTACTGTAATGAAAGCTTTTAAAATTTTCACACTTCTTCGACAGGCTCCCCTTAAAGAGATAGTTCACTGAAAATGAAAATGCACTCAACTGCTCACCACTATGCAGAGGAGTGGGTGAAGTGTTTGAGTCCACAAAACACTTCAGGAGTCGCAGAAGTAAACTTTATAGCAGCAGAATCCAATACAATTAAAGTCGATGATGACCTAGACTTCAGACGTAATAAAACAACAGAGCATGCCTCCATACTGCTTGTGTGGTGTCATCCAAATGTCTGCAAGCCCTGACATTCTATCAAATTCTACTTGAATTCTACTGCCAATATCTTCCTATGAGGTGCATTCATGGACAATGGGACACACTAAGTCCGCTAGTTTAGCTACTTCCAGTGGACTTTTTGTCTCAAAACACGGTTTCAAGTCGAATATGAAAGTTGGGGCTTCCAGACACTTGGATGACACCACACGAGCAGTAGGGAGGCATGTTCGGTTGTTTTGTTACGTCTGAAGTCTACGGCACAATTGACTTCAATTGTATTGGATTCTGCTGCTACAAAGTTTACCCCTGAGACTCCAGCAGTGTTTTTTTTGGACTCAAACACTTCACCCACTCCTCTGCATAGTGATGAGTAGATGATGATTGCATTTTCATTTTTCAGTGAACTGAAACTGATCCCTTTTAAGGATGTTGAACCTCTGCTATGGTTAGGGTTAACCCTGACCCTGTCACTGCCCATAGGAGAGCTGTTATATCTTCAATTATCTCACTTTTACAAAAAAGAATCACAAGTTGCAGGGGGACTACCCTCATGTGACCAACACTGAACAGAAAAGTTGTTGTACTTAAGCAAAGTCAAGTTTAGCTATTTTTGCGAAAGGCTCCCCCTCCTTCCTCTGCGAGACACATTAAAAATAACAGTGGCACAATAATCGCCAGCTTGATAATTGGGCCATCATTCAAGGAGATGTCAAGAGCCTGGGTGGATCAAGAGTCCTCCCCTGTGCTCTGCTCAGCCACAGTCGACCATGATGACAGCTTGAGCAAAAATTAGCAAGTAAAGCACCATATTAGAGCCAGACAACTTGATAATGGGTCATGTTTGAACCACAGCGCTCTCCTTTGTGTGAATGGCAGTACCTGGCCATTTACAGCCCCCCCCCAAAAAAAGGGGAAGATAATGATTGGTATTCAGTTGTGTGAACCACAGAAGACTAAATATAACCAAACTGTTTTCTTACTGTTATGTCCAGTCCTCCACAATAGGATTGCATATTGGTTTGAAAGAGACATTCGCTTCATTTAAAGATACTGTTGAATTTGGAAAGAAAATGAAGCACTCCAGTCACAACTGCTCTTCAAACAAATGCAGCGCTTTGAAAACGGTGGAAACCACTTGACAGAAATGATATAAAGCTACTATCACACCTTTTGAAGACTTGGACGTTTGGCTGTGGGCTTGTACTGTGCTCCCTTATGAAGATTAGCAGCGTTGACGTGTGTGATCTCAATCAGTTGCCACTGATTCTAATGGTGATAAGGCAGCACTCCTCAATCCAGCTTTCGGTTCACAATCCAACCAACATGGATTCAAGATAAACAGTCTTTAACAGAGACTCCAAAAAATTTGGTTAAAGCTTTAACACCTTGTTAATGATTTGGCCACGTCAGTGTGGACTACAACCCAAACCTTGCACATGTAAACACTGCTTTCAAAAGAATCTGCTTTTGTGTGGACGAGGCCCACACCACAGCCACTTGTCTCTGTGTCCGCTGCCCTGCCCCAGGGTCGGACGGAGTTTTGGGGGAGGGTATGGTATGGCTGTCCTGCTGAGCTCACTGTGGTGTCAGAGACATGTAAAGACAACACCGAGCAGTTGTGACTGTGGAGGTTGCAGATCATCAGCAATTCCTAACAGCAACTGGTGGCCTCCAGCCGTCCGTCCCAACAGTTGCTATGACATTGTTTTGTTTTATTTTTCGCCTGCCGGAAGCAGTGTATAGCCCCAGCCATGTAGGGTACGGGCAGGTTGGGTGAATGGATTATCCTTTAGTTTTAAACCCTAGTGATGAATTATTGGCTCCTGGTAACTCATTTACCAGGTCTCTCAGTTCCCACGTACGGGGTTTTTGAATACAGAGCAGTGCTGAGTTGCAGTGTGTGAACTATATCACAGGGTTTTTGATTATCACCTCCTCTGTGTTGTACTGAAGCTTTGTTTGCATGTGTTTTGTTTGACTTCAGACACAAAAGTTTGATAGAAAATTCAATATTCGTTCTTTCATCTGCGCCCGACAGAGGAGCAGCTCAGCGAGGGGGGGGTGGGGGGGGGTGTAAGGGTCTTGGAAGTTGTACATTTCCATTCATGTTTTCCAGTTGTTGCATTTCTGTTAGGCACTGGTGTACCAGGATATGCAGGCCTCTCATTTACGATAAAGCCTCCCTTCCCTTCCCTCATCCCAGTGCTCGTCTCCCAGTCTCCTCCCCTGTTCTCTCCTCCCCTCTAGAACAAATGTCATAGTTTCCAGAGTGGGAATGAGGCAGCGAAGGGGGCAGGGCGGGCACTCGGGAGTGTAACAGGACCACAGCAACTCATGCAGCCAATAGAATTCGGGGGGATTGCTTCCGTAGATGTTTTTTTTTTTTTTTTTTTCTTTCCCTCTTTCATTCTTTTCTGTAGTTGTCTTCCCCCTGCTCGCTGTGACCCCTCTTTCTCAAGGGGCCCCTCCAGTCTGAGCAGTTCCAGCTATTTTGCTTGGTTTGTGGTGTTTGTGTGTGTGTGTGTGAGGCCTGGGGTGGGGGGTGGGGGGTTGTGGTCGGGGATTTGGCAGCTCCTTTGATCAGTAAAGCATAAACAAGAGGGGGCTTCAAAATGGGTTGCATTGTGTGTGTGTGTGTGTGTGTGAGTGTGTGTGTGTGTGGGGTGGGGGGGTGGAGTGCTGAGTCAGGCCCTCTCGCTCTCTGGCCTGGGATGCAGAGCAGACAGGCAGGCTGGGATTACCACAGAGGCCAAGAGAAACTATCCGAATCTCTCACTTCACCCAGCTGTTCCAAAATCTGTGCTAATGGCGCTGCTGGATCAAATGAACAGCAAGTTGTAAAGAATCACAGCGGGGGGGGGACCCACACCCAGAACGTGATTATTGCACAGAGCTGTAGATGGATTGCTGAGGGTGATATTCAGTTGCATCAACCTTTTTTTTAAATTTTTGTCGTGTATAGGGAATTAATTTGGCCCCCGCCGCAACATAAATGTAAGCATTTGGGGTGTTGCATAAACAAGCTGCTGGACTTTGGTGCCTATTTGTTTGAGATGAGGGGGGTCTCTTAAATAGGATGGCTCAAAAAAACAAAAAACAAAAAAAAAAGAACAAGTGAATAGTGGGGTTTTAGGTCGTAGCTCAGTCTGTGCCTTTGTCAAGCAGGTGAAAGCTTTGTAAATGTGGCGCCAGATTGTTAAAGCCCCTGACACTCCACAGTGTCCGAGCCGCTTCCAGGAAAAAAGGACCCCCTGCGTTGAGCCCTGGGACTGACCCTCCCTCAATAGAGAGGGTCCTGCTCGGGAGAGGAGGGCTTCCTGTATTAGCTTTCCATCTTAATCAAGCAACAAGTACCAACAAAGCACTAATTATCAATGCCTTCACACAACGCAACACAATGCCACCTCCCCCGCTCCAGCCCCAGCAAGGACGAGCCCGTGAAATAGACGGAGCAACATTGTTTGATGTCACAAGAGTTGTTTTGAATCCTCTTGAACATTTTAAAGCAGTAATTTCAAGCCTAGCTACAGTTACAGTTGATTGACTTGATTTATTTTTATAACTTTTGTATTGCCGTGATTATTCATTACTTCATTTTTATTCACAATGTACAGTTTTATGAGAATTTCAGGAAAATAAATTCAACCCTATGTAATGATAACCGGCTCGTGTGGATCTATATTAAATTGTGTGTTCATACAGGCGGTGCAAATAGTTGTCGTTTACAGAAAGTAGTTTTTTTCATCAAAGAGCTTGTTGAAGCTGCAGTGAGTCATCAGCTCCTGCATGTGACCTGCTTTTTTTTTTTTTACAGACCCTAGTTTGAACTCACTACTGATTATTACTGGTACAAAACATTAATGGCAGTTGTTGTTCATTAATTTTTTTCTGTTGTTGTCTCTCTACAGTCACATTGATCAGTCCACCACCTGGCAGGATCCTCGCAAAGCACTGCTCCAGATGAACCAGGCGGCTCCGGCCAACTCTCTGCCGGTCCAACAACAGAATCTTATGACCCCAGCTAGTGGTGCGTACATGTTGACATAAAAGTTAGTTCAATTTTACCATAGTAGCTGCATACTACATGTCATACACATGATTATTTTTTTTGGCAGAGTTCAATTTCTTTTCACGTTATTTCCAGGCACTTTCTTTGTTTCTAACCCAATATATAGGATAGTCCTCTGGAGCTGTCTCGTCTAGTTATTACATGTCACTAAGACTCTGTACCTCAGATTTGGCCATGCAGTTGGAATTTGCCCTAGGTGGAGTAAGACGGAGGCAGAACGTGACAGGTCCTGTCTGACATGTTTGGGAGCTCTGTGACTCACAGATTACAGAGTTCACCCGTCAACTCTATCTCTGTATTCTCAAATCGTCACTTCTCCGGCAACCTACGAGTAAATCTGAAAAAAATAACAACAACCTGATAGCATATACATGTTGACTATAATACAGTCTACTATCTACAATATACTGTAATCAAACTCTATTATTTATTATACTTATGCAATGCTTCTGTTGGGCGGTGTTGGAGTGGATGAACCACCAGCGTCTCTAACAGAATTTTTTGTCCCTCAGGTTCTCTCCCTGATGGCTGGGAACAAGCTATTACGTCAGAGGGAGAAATCTACTACATCAACCACAAGAACAAGACCACATCCTGGCTCGACCCACGACTCGACCAACGCTACGGTGAGTTTGGTGCAGAGCGGCATTTTTTATTTAAGTTGTTTAGTTTTCAAAGTAAAGTTCACCTGATTTGTTGAAATAATATAGTTAATGATTAGGTAATAGCTACTTAGAATTAGAAAATTAGTACTTTAAAAACATTTTTGTGACGGCAATTTACTTTCCCTAGTGCGAAGCTCTAATCCCCAAAAAAGTAATAGTGTGATTGATTCTGCGTGACTCATTTCGCCACACTAAATTGTTTTTTCGAGTGACGAGTTGCACTGTTGGTTGTCGAAACCACATTTCACCTACACTCCACCTTCAGAATCTGCGCCTAACCTTTTGTCAGCCATTTTAGTGCCGGAGCAACAGCTGAGTTGGCCATTAATCCCCCCAGGCACGGCTACAGTTTGACAGTTAGCTTTCTGTGTGTGGTGGCCGGGGGCCGGTGAATTAGTGACAGGGCCGCGTTACATGTGTCGAGACTCTGCGGCCATGGGAATGAGCTAATCCCCCCTTGTGTGCCAGGAAGGTTTCAAGAGATGAAGGTTCCTGCTTATGTCACTCTGACTCATTTACGCTTCAGGTGCCATCCCTTCATTAAAGCAGCATTCCCCGGGGGAGCTCACCCTGGTTCGCAAAGTCAACATGTGTGAATCAGCACGCAGCCTGTTATCCTGTTTAATTTTAGCGTTACTTCTTTTATTTCCTTTTTTTTTTTTTTTTTACGAACCGAGGCACAGAAAGGGCAGTTTTTTTTCTGTAAGAAATTGTGTAACCTGCTCTGGAGGCAGGCAGGAAAGTTCAAAACAGAGTTGTAAGGCGAGCGGGGCAGCTGGGAAAGGTGGCGGCTCCGATCGGTGGAGCTCTTTGAAGATTTATAAGTCTTGAACACACAAAGCTGCTCGGCCCCTGAAAGTGAGTGAGAGGGGGGACGAGACCATGTTAACTCATTATATGCCATCAAACTGAATTTCAGTCCACGTTATATATAATCCTTGCACATCGTAAATCTCAGGGCTCAGATTTAGACTTGTTCCCATGTCGCTCATCTGTGGTTTTTGTATTTTTTGAAGTTCCACACTCTTCAAACAACTTAATATTCATTTGTGGCTCTGTGTTTGAAGAAAAACCAAATGTTATTCTTTTGAGTCATATTCTTTTCACGTTGTGCATAGAAAGGTGCTCCTCTGCATCAGAATCCACTCTACTGCTGCTATGTAGGTCTCTCTCAACTATAAGCCAGCTGCTTTGATAATGGAGGCTAATTTGAGCTTTGAGAAGAAAAGCAGCGGAGCGCCTTTAACTGAGTGCTGCTGCCGGCTGGCTCTCCCCTGCATGAGGCCCAGAGCAAGCACAGCCCCATCCTGCTGCAGCTCCAGACAGACTTGAATCTCTGCCAGGCCTCTTTATTCTGTGGTCCAACTCTTAATCTTTTCCAGACCTTTTCAGTCAAAGAACTCCAATGTGAGACGGGGAGGTTGGGGGGGCACAGGGAGAGTGAGAGGCAAGGTGAAAGGGGGAAAGAAAGGAAAAAGGAGGAACAGAGGGGAAAACGCAGACGGGATAAGCATGCATCCTCTTTGAGGTCCAAAGAGGTGGTGAGCAGCGAACAAGCGTTCAGAAGGGGGGCTGGCCTGTGAGGGTGTGTTGTTTTCTGCACATACTACTACTACACAGGAACAGTAGGAAACACACAGTCGGGGGATGTTGGAGTGCACAAAAACCCAGATTTAATCCAGGAGTGTTACAGTTTTGCTCTGATGCTTTAATGCACGCCATTCGTCAAACCCATCGCCGCGGTATCTGTCATGTGATGTTTTTCTGCCTCTGCTGTCAGAGTCAGAGAAGTTAGCAACTTTTTTATTAATGTCACCTCCATGAGACTCTCAGCGAGTCAGGTTAAAGGGTCCAATCATATTTTCTCACTTACCCTTTAGAGGTATCCCTATGTATGCACAGTTTTTTTTAGATTTCAACATCTGATATTTAGGCTGCCAGTCGAAAAATAATGGTGGTGAATGGACATTTGTTTGGAGGTGCAACATCCTCTGCCCTGAACTCTCAACACGAGTAAAAAAAGCAACACAAAAATAACATTTTAATGGGGGAAAAATGGACGGACAGAAGTGCAATAGAAGCTGAGTGTAGCAGAGCACGTCCGCAAAATGACAATTTTTACAACATTCATGAGAAAAGACATAAATGAAAGTGTAACAAAGTATTTATACGAAAGAAAAGAGGTATGGAAGTATTGCCAATAATAGTAGTATATGTGAGTGACAGCTCATGATCACGGTCATGTGATGAAGAGCAAGAGAAGTTCCATGTGTCGTGTGTCCCGATACAATCTAGGCCAATCTTAGCATTGCTATTGATTTCATAAACAATGTCCAAAACTTACTTTTGATGATTCACACACTTTGAGCAGGTTTTTGTTGGAACTGAAAGAAATACTTCATGTTTTATGTAATTTGGATCAACTGACTTTTTAATAGGGACACCCTCCAAATGAAAGGAGGATAGATTGAAATAAAAAAACATACAGAACAAAATTACTTAAAAAATAATAAAAACATTAACATATTAGCTCATTATATTCAGCTTAATAAATAAGGTATTATTATTAGTATTAAAATAATTCCATGATTGGCTGCTTTAAACACGTTTCCATTGTTTCCATCTCCTTGCTTTGCTGTTCAGAGCCAGGTCAACACAGACTTCACTTCACTCTGACCATACAGGAGTGCGATGATAAACCAGTGTTTGTTTTACATCCAGACTCTTTCTTCACTTATCTCAACGCTACAAACCCAACATTTTCCCAAGGGCCTTTTTTTCAAGACTTGTTAAAATCGAAATCAGCTAAATATTTACCAAGCCTTCAAAGGTGCTTTGCCCTGGTCACATTGAAAACTTCCCACAGCTGGCACACCCTCCTCACCTCTACCTGCCCCAGGTGATCTTGCAGTGTAATGTGCCTGCCAGTGTGATTGCGTGATAAGGGCCTGTGTTGCTGGCTCGCTGTGTTGCAGGAGTGCGTGAAGAAGACAAAAGGCAGACGGCATTAAGTTGTCTCTTATCTGCTTGGCCCACCAGCTATCGCTGCCTGTATGTGCTGCAGACTTCTACCATACACACACACACACACACACACACACACACACACACACACACACTGTTCTCTGCCTGGTCTGGCCAACTTTTTAAGCTTTAATCTTTCTGGCCCTCAACTGAACCTGTCCTTCGCTGCTATCTCACCCACAGATGTAATTCCCTGCCTCCATATACTCATTGTTGTGCATAGTTCTTTTCAGCAACATTAGTTACTGTTTGGTCTGTGAAGTAGTCCTTGACTGGGTGGTTCAGTAGAAATGCAGTTGTGCGACCACATTGCATTAGTGCATCTCTTTCTATATTGTATAACCCCCATGTTAGCATGCTTTGCAGAGTTGTATTATTGTTCTGCAGGAGGATACAGAGTTCAGTTTATCCACGCGTCCATCCATCCACCCGTCTGCCCGTAATTATTTTGTTTTTTGAGCAGCACTTGAACAGTTTTTATATTTGGTGGTGGAACACAATTATCTTAATCAGGAAGGAAATGCAAACTCATGTTTACGCACATTGTATTTACCAGAGTGGTAAGACCTGGGAACATTGTGGTTTCAGTACAATAAATCCTCTGGGGGCAAGAAATATGAGCGGGTAGCCCATGAGACAGGTTGTGAACAAGGTGATCGAAAGCACTTTCAGAGGTAAAACTAAGTGTCATTTGAAAAAATAATTGCATAGGTTGTCTGTGCAACTTTGACATGTATATAACTGTTTTCAGATATGTAACAGTTTGCCTTTCACACATACACAAAACAGCACCAGGTTCTCTGCACAAATATGTTTACGACAGCAACAAATCATCTGCATTTGTCAGGCGAGAGGTGCAGCAGTATTTCCTGAACTGCAGGGATCTGTACATTTCTAAAACGGCTTATGAGTTCAGTGTTATCGGTGACGTATGACCCAAGTTGTTTGAAACCAGAATTCTAATTAAACGTGTGGTCTCATGTATCTGTGGATCAGTCTGTGTACGCCTCCCCTCACTTGTGGACTGATTCAGAACTGAGGCCTTAACAGATCTACAGCTGGTGTCCTTGGGTGGAGGGATCCAACCACAAAAGGCCTCAGTATCTGACAGAGATAAGAAGCGAGGAGGAGGGACACACTCTCCCATGGATTTGGTTGATGTGTGTGGGAGAGAGGAGGCTACACTGTGTGTGTGGCTATGTTGGGGTGGGGTTGTCAGGGGAGTGAACAGAGAGCAGAGGGAGGGAGGGTGAGATGGAAGGCAGGGCAGGGTGGGGCCTGCAGAGCTTCCCAAGGATAGCCCTGAGCCGCGGTTCATTCAGCTGGTGAGATAGTGTAAACAGTGATTGAATGGTGATGAGAAAGGTGCCGGGGCGGGCAGGACAGCACAGGGAGAGGCGGCCCCGCATGAAAATTGTGCCCTCGTCAAGGCTTTGTTTTGGTTGGTGCCCCGAGCGCATAAGCAAACAGCGCTCCTCATTGGTCCCATTACCGTTACACCCCTTGTGGTCAAGCACATTTGCTTGTCTGTCTCCACTACAGTGATAAAACGTGTGACCTACTTTGCATGCATAGATTACAGCATTTGCCGTGCCGCCTTATACTTGTGTTTATTATAGCCTCCCCCGCTAGAGTAAAGTAAAACAAAGATTTCACTGGGGAGCAGCTGTGTTTTCAGTACACACACGTTTGCTCTGATATTGTAAACATATAGTGAGCTTGTTAGTGCACAATGCAATTACATTTGTTGGGTGAAAGAACTTTGAAGCTGGAGTTAAGAGAGCTACAGTGTTTACCGATGTTGGTCTATTTTAAATGAACCGGGCCGATTTGCATAATGTGCTCATATTGCATTCATTAAATCAGCTGAAGTGGCCTCATCAGGCCGGCGTAAGGAGGCCGTCAGTCTTGAGGGATAATCTGCGATTTGTGTAGAAGGAGAGGGAGAGAAAAAAAGCACAATGAAAGGATAAGTCATGACTGATGCAATGTACGAAACCAACAAAGCCTGTCTTAGTCAGTGAGTGGGAGGGGATCAGGTCTTACAGGAATAGTGATTGTTTCAGACACTAGGTGGAAAACTTGTATCCGGCCGTCACTCGTCCTACACAACCTGCTGCACTGGCTCTGGTCTTTTACAAGTTCACTGTGCAGACGAAGTTGTCAGGCTTGTTGAGCAGTGTTTAAATGCAGCCTTCAATGGAGTATTTTTTTTTTTTTTTCATCCAATTATTGCAGCATGAGAAACAGAATGAGGAATCAGCATAACACTACCAGCTTGGAAAATAAATCATGTTAACCAGAAAATTCTTGAATCTTGATATTAGGTGTTTTTGCCACTACAGAGGAATTCTTGAAGGCTGCTTTACATACAGGTCCCTTATATCGAGTTCAATATAACTCAAATGAGACAAAGTCAAGGGATTTTCCTTAGAAACTACTAGATAATCAATTGACACTATGAACAAGACCAACTAGTTAGATCTGTAGTTTTAAGATAAAGATGTCCTCTCCAACTTAATTGAAACCAAGCAAATGTGTAGGGACATTACCTCACTTACGAAGCATTTCAGACAAAGCTGGAATCACAGGTTTAGGGTCAATGTCCTTTGACATAATGTAGTAACCGTCCATTTCTGCAAAGTCTAAACCTCTGTGTGCAAAGTTCAAAATGAGCACTGGTGTCTCTGCGCTACATGTTATACGGACAGGAGTGACTGACCTGAACTCCCTTTTGTCTCCTCTGCAGCCCTGAACCAGAGGATCTCCCAGAGTGCTCCAGGGAAGGCCGGCCAGCTGCCCCCCAGCATCCACAGCGCAGTCATGGGAGGCAACAATCAGATGCGTCTGCAGCAGATCGAGAAGGAACGACTGCGACTGAAGCAACAGGAGCTGCTTCGGCAGAGACCACAGGTCAGAAATCAAGAGTTACAGCAAAAACTAGACAGGCACAGAGTAAAGTGTGTGACTCCGCTGAGGCCTCACAGTGAAGCCATGTTTAAATTCACTACATCCAGATATTTTTCAGGATCTGCACCGGAATTGCACACACTTGTCAATTTCAGTCATTTAAATGTGCCTGATTCTGGATCTGCCCCCTGATCCGGGTCTGTACCAAAGTTTACTGGGTTCTTCCTTGGGTCATGCCCCACCCCTCTACTGCTAACAATCAAACAAAGACAAAAACATAAGGAAAAAAAGTATGGATGCAAAGGACTTTTGGGAAGTGCCGTTGGACCCATGAAGGAATCAAAAAGGTCACAGGGTCAATACTTTCAGTCGATGGCTGCTGAGCCAGGACACCGGACCTGTAATTGCTCACATGTTGGGCACTAGCAAACTGTTTACATAGTAAAACGAGTGAATCAATCTCGATTTAAATATGAGTCAAAATTCGTAGGTATAGTGGTGGATTACAGGCCCCTTTGATGTGTCTTTTATTATCACACCGCCCTGCAGTGAAGAGCTGAGTCATCTGCGGTCACTTTATTACTTCCTAACGGGGATGTGTCACAGGGTGGTGCAGCCCAGTACGACAGTTTACTCAAGGTTGTGTCACAACACCAGAAACGCAGCTTTATGATTATGAATGACAGCACTTTGTTTAACATGAGCGGAGGGACCCCCGTGTGTGTGTGTGTGTGTGTGTGTGTGTGTGTGTGTGTGTGTGTGTGTGTGTGTGTGTGTGT